GGAAGAATCCTTCCGGTCATGGGAGCGGGAGCGACGAGTCCCAAACCCCCTTAAGCATGAGGGGCGGTTTGGGGCGCCGACTCCCCAAAAATAGATTAAAAAAATAAAAAAAACATTTGATGGCCGACTCCCAAAGTCGGCCATCTTTTGGAAGAACGACTCCCAGCCGACGACCCCTCGACCAAAACGGGAGTCGTCGGCGAAAATTTGGGAGTCGTTTTTCCAACCCCCTTTATAATTTAGGAAACAACTTTAAAATTTCAAAAAAACGTAAACAATAAGGTAAAAAAATTAATGCAAACAATTAAGTCAAAAAGTGAGTGAGCAAAAAAATATCAATTAAAAGTCATTTTTATGATAGTTGGACTTTACCATCAAATTCTAAACTTTTCACAGCATAGGAAAAATTTAAAATTTGAAAAAAACTCAAAAACTAAGCCATAACAAATCAATTCAAAAACCGCTTCTAAACGCGGAATCTGTGTGTGCTGCATGCAGAAGAAACTGTGTCTAAACGTGGAAAAACCGCGTTTTTTATCAAGGCCCTTGATATTTTATGGGAGTTGATCAACCGACTCCCAAATAATGGAGAGTTGACTCCCAAACCCGGGTTTCCCCAAAATTTGGGATTCAATTCCCCAAACCCATCAGTGGGTTTGGGAGTCGGCCTCCAAAAAATTTTAAATAAAAAAAAAGAAAAACCCCGGCGGGGTTTGGGTGTCAATGCCAGAACCCAAAAAAAAAAAAAAAAAAAAAAAAAAAACGACGGCCAGGAGGATTCCTCCCAGCCGCAGAGAGTGCTCGTGACGGCCAAGAGAATTTCTCTCACCCGTCAAGGGTCTACAACCTCAACAGCTGAGAGAAAACCCTCTCGGCCGTTGAGTATAACCCTCATCGGCCAAGAGGGTTTCTCTCCAAGGTCAAGGATGTACACCTCAACAGCCGAGGGAAACTTCTCAGCTGTCAAGACCTCAACGGCCAAGAGAAACCTCTCGGCCGTCGGAGGTGTAGCCCTTAACGGCCGAGTGAAACCTCACGGTCATCGAGGGTGTACACCTCAACGACCAAGAGGAAACAATTACGACCAAGAGGGTTTCCTCTTGGTCATTGAGAATGTATACCCTCAACGGCTGAGAGTGTACCTCTTGGTTGTCGAAGTGTACACCCTCGATGGCCGAGAGGATTTCTCTTGGCCGTTGAGGTGTACACCCTCGACGGCTGAGAGGTTTCTTTTGGCCATTGATGGTTATACCCTTAACGCCCAAGAGAAATTCTCTCGGCCGTCCATAGAGCACTCTTGCCCCCCGTCCGCTGGTTTTATTTTTTTTTATCACCAACCCCCCAAAACCACTTGGTTTTAGGGCATTGAAACCCAACCCCTCCCGGGGTTTTCTTTTTTTTTATTTAAATTTTTTGAGGGCTGACTCCCAAACCCACTGACGGGTTTGGGGAATTGACTCCCAAATTTCGGGGAAACCCAGGTTTGGGAGTTGACTCTCCGATATTTGGGAGCCGGTTGATCAACTCCCTATTTTATATTTTATTAGGGGGTATCAAATATAACCAAATCCACCATTACTTAATTGACTGGTTTGAAAAAATCCACCCTTTTTCAAACATGTTGGGAATTCATTCAACCCCTTTTGGGGACCATTGATGCAAAAAAAGTTTTGCAAAAAGTGACTGGTTTCTAATGGTGGATTTCCTATATTTGATACCCCCTATTGGTTTTTTTTATAATTTTTGGTGGTTGCTTGATCTCACCGCAATGTGGCGGAGTTCCACTACGCTATGCTAAAGTTTAGCAGCATTCCAATATGTTACACTGTGTTAACTGCTACGGTTAGTGTAGCTGGCCCAGCGTTAATCGAGGTTGTCAAACCTTGATGGCCAGTGGGGTATATGCCCAGCAGGGAGGCGGCTCCCAACCCTCCCTCTTGCCAAGGTGGGGTTTGGGGCACCAACTCCTCCTCAAAAAAAATCAAAAATTAAAGATCAAAATGGGATAACAACTCCTCATACCGCGGGGGGGGGGGGATTGGTAGAAAAACTTCCCAAGAAATTTACAGACGGTCCTGGGTATCATTCTCCCAATTTTTGCCAAGTTTTGGGAGTCGTTTTTGCAACACCCTTGTAAAATTGCATTTCAACTGCAAACAGTTGCACAGCTTTTTCTTCCAGTGGAAGTTACTTGCATTCAAATCCAAAACCTCCTATTTCTAGGCCAATTTACTCAGAGCAGCTGCTTTGAACAAGCCCATTTTGTTAAAATTCTTCATTCTGTACATCTGACAATACTAGGCACTCTATTTTTCAAGTTGGATTGATGCACACAAGAAAGCTGAGGGAATCCACAAGGAACAAATATTTGGGCATTTCTTTCAGTCAATCTGGCTAAGATTTTTGGTTGTGGATTCTTTGAAAGCTGGGGATTTGTGTTTCTGAAAACAATCTTCCAAACTGACTGGAATCTTTCATCCTGGGTTATCACTGCATGTGCAAATCAATTGCAGTTTTTGTTGCTTCTGTTAAAAGCTTCCATCAATTGGATACTGTTGAGAAAGAAAGTTTGGAGTAAAATTCAGCACATAGTTATATCTTAAGCAGATGCTGGAGAATATTGCAGTGATTTGGAGGGAAAGGAGTGGATTAATGTATGCTTGTGCTGATTTTGCATATTCTTGTGGGGTTTCGCCTCGATAACCCTAACTGGCGCGACCACATCCAGTCGCCTCTGAATTTGTTGAAGTCAAGTTGAGGTTCCATCACACCCCCAAGGATCTCACCAACTCGTCTCTCGAAATATGGGAAAAGTGAGTCTTCTCTTCTGTTATCGTTCATCTTCTTCAGAACAACTTAATCTGACGAGACTTGGTTCCCTGATTCTTTGTGCAGGCTCAATACAAGAGGCGTATTCGCTCGGCCAGACACCATGCTAATGGTGCACCTATTACCCAGGAGGATATACCCAATCCATCTACACCAGTCAATCCGGAAGTCGTACCCAAATCAAAAAACAAGAAAGCTAAGAGCCAAACCCAACAGAATGAGCGGCAAGCTACCATTGCGGTCTTAGACAAGGTTTTTTTACTTTGTTTTTCGACGTGCTGGAATATTTGGTCAACTCATGATACTGATAATTTTGCTTGTTTTCGTATTCAGATCTCCTCTCCCTCTTCACACGATCGGATATGGTCTCTAGCAGCAATGTCCAACCTCGTACTTTCCTCCGCATCCACCCGCCAGTTGTTCCTTTCCAAAAATCTCATCCGTCTTCTCATCAACCGACTCATAGAAGATGCAGACCAGGAAGACGTGCTTGTCGAAGTGACTGGAGTACTTCGAAATCTGGTGATTGAGGGTGGAAGAGACGTATGCGGAGAGATGGCCAACAAGGGCATTCTCCAACCCTTGAACATCCTCGTTTCCAAACTTCTAGCTTCAATTCTCAACTTTCAAGACACAAATGGAAGCGGCCTCCAAAATACTCCAGCCCAGTCACTCATCTGGTCTCGATTGGTCTTGATATCAGAAAACGTGGTCATTATCTTATGGTCTCTAGCGTCAGTACGCCGCTTGGCTTGAAGTCATTGATAGGGCTTTCCATTTTTTATGAGTCGGTTCACAAATCTGACGACGTGACTCCACATTTTTTGGGGTTTAACAGGGAAACATCTTCCAAATGGCTGGACTCAGTTATTGCCCTTCAAGATATAATCCCCTTGTTAACCAATATCTTACGACTGTTCACCGATCAACTCAAGACGAACCAGTCGGCCAAGGCGGCACACTCCTGCCACATCGTACCCACCAGTTGTGCGTTGGCATCTGGTCAATGTCTTTATGCACTCACAGAAGATCATCCAAAATTATCGAAGCGATTGGCCTTCTCCGATGAGTCAGCGATTCAGCCAATAATTACCCTTTCCAGTACAACAGACCAACAAGGCAAGCAATTCTCATCAGAAGATAACGAAAACATCGAACTTCTGAAGGTGGTATCCATTGGTATCTTGCGAAACATTATCTTACACGCTAGGAAGCGCGCAGAGGAGCTCTCGTTCAAGCCTGCGTACGATGAAAACATGCCCCATATTCTTATTGTAAAGTTGAAAGTAGACTTGGGTCAGCTTGCTGCCGAAGCAGCTGAAGCCCATAACTCCATTGTAAGTGCAGATCATTTCATCTTATACTCCACCATTCTCTCAAGGACCGTACAATAAAAGTAAAAATTCGTTCTTTTAAGCTTCAGTTGACATATCGTTCTTGAACCACACACAGCCAACCGCGCCTCTTTCCGATCTCAACTTTACCAAGGCATCTATCCAAGGTCCTTCTCCTGCTGAGCTGAAGCTCGAGTCGATAGAGCGCCGATTAACATTAGTCCAGCTCGCGCTTGAACTTGTTGGCGAATGGTGTGCGTCGGCCGATGGTTTTGATGACGATGATGATGCCAGTAGCGATGGATCAGAAGGCGATGAACCTAGCGAAATGGACGAAATGGACGATTCTAACGAGGGTAGTGAGCACCCTGATGATGAACAGGGTTCGCAATCTCAGAACGAAGACATCGATATGGAAGAAATTCCTGTCGTCTCGAAACACGCATCAGCTTCCAAAGCCAATGGAGTCGAACCCGATGACAATTCAACTGAGCACAAAAATAATGCGATGGACATTGAAGAGTCAGAAACTTTCGTCCCCTCACCGCAATCTACTCCTTTTTCGCATCTGCTCAGCCACCTGAACAACCTGGCCAAGCCGACTCCATACTTCTATCAATCTCGAGAATCCGAACCTATGGGGAAAAACATTATCCCCACTGCAATCAACACCGACGAGATGTCGTCCAGCCCAACAACCGGAACTATTCCAGACCTGATATGCGAACTCTTAAGTGGTATTCATCTGCGTGCAACAGATGCATTGAATAACATGATGATCACAATTGATAGACTGGAAGGAGCGTCGACTCACTCTGAAAAGAAGTTTGTTTCGACGAATCAGGACTCTCTTCACGCAGTGTGGAAATCATGCTGGTTGACTACCTCTGAGCTTGCACACCATGCGCATCTATCCCGAAAAGGTAAACAAAAAGCTCCCAATGGCTCTATACCCTCGCAACAATGCCATAGAGAACAACTCTTGATATCCGCGTTGACCTGCTTCTGGAGTCTATCACGCGTCCTTCTCGGCGCTGGAATTTCGTCCCCGATAATCCAAGTGACGCCTGATCAAATTCAGTGTCTGGTCGAAATCTTGCGGACGTCTGAAAACGAAACCGTCAAAGGTCGTGCTTTGACGACACTGATATGTTTAGTCAATCGACCGGAGGTGTCCGTCGAGGAAAACACAGTTAGTACTCTCAGCATTATCCGAGTCTGTTTTACTTTCATCGATTATAACTTTTCTAATGCTTATTCCCTTTGAATAGGTTATTGGCGACGTACTCATCGACATAATCTCCAAAGCCAATGCTCCAGCCAGTGATATCCCCAACAGTCTGTTGATCGGAGCTCTTGATGGGATTTTTGATGTGTACGCGGACGAAACACGGGCGTACGACGTGCCTGTGTTCCGGCAACGAGGGTTCTTGGAAACTATCCAGGCCGCTCTTCCAACGATTCAAGCAATTGTGAGTATCTCTCTTTGAGAGAATATTGCAAAGACCATTGGATGTCTTGTTGATATGCTATTCGTTATGGTATTCATCAGGTCAAGAAAATCGACAAAAGAAAGGAACCTGTACTCCGCCAACAGGCCGAAGAAGTTCAGAGCAATCTATCGGCTTTTATCGATTACCGGAAAAAATTAATTTAACCTACACATATCCGGTTAATTAGGTATACCTGTTCCTATCCAGACCATTCAATCTATCGGGTTCCCAAATCAAGCAGTCCATAGACATAACACCAGCAGCCCGCAGCCCAATCTTGACCCGTTTTATATGACCAACGTATCTCTTCAGACTTGCTACATTGTTTTTATATCGACGATCATATACCCTTGTGTATGTAAGACATGAGATGCCTACACTTGCACGGATCTGCTTTTTTGTTTTTCTGTTTTGTTGTTGTTGCGTGTTATTCTGGAGTGCCCTTCTTAAAATTCACATTGTTTTTGCATGGACATACCATAAACGAAACCCAAAGTCCTGATCCTTGATTTTTCTTGATTCTTAAATGAATGACTGCTATTCCTCCACTGGGAAAAAATACAGTCATGGGTGATGAATCATAGATCTGGTCTTTTTCAAGGAGCGGATTACTGCTCGATGTTTTGGAGAGAAAGGCTTCCGTGACCCCACAGAATTGCCCCTTCCCAATTCCACTGACAGTGACACCTCACAAAGAAAGAGACAAAGACAACACTCGTTGACACGTTTTGCCGGTGTGGCTGTAGCATAGCGGCCTATTGATGCTATATGGCTTCACTCAAATTGGTTTGGAATCTAACTTGAACAAGTTCCTCTGAATTCGGAGGGGAAGGTCCCTATTCCTCTGAATTCAGAGGAACTAGGAGGTTTGGAATTATCAAAAGGTTAATCGAATATTTAGGAATTAATCAAGCTTGTAATATATTATTTCTATCCTAACGTGAATCCTGATTTTGTTTATAGTTCCCAAAAATCAACCAGCAATATACAAATGTGCGTATGAAACGAAGTTGTGTACGTAGAAAGGTCATTCAAATTATGTTGAACTTGGGTTGGCTGTTTAGCAATAACTGCATGTTCCAATAATCAATTTAAAGCTCAAGATAATAAGCATAATGGTGGACGTCATCTGAGCAATGAATCGAACAATTTGATCGGTGTCACTGTTGGATAGAACATGAAGGAAACGATTGGTGAGTTGAGTGCCATGATTGGTTAGTAGAGCACCATGATGGGTGAATGCAGCGCCAAGGAAGCGCAAGCCATGTTTTGTTGGAGCGTCTTTGCGACACGTTGGGCATGTCAAGCTATGCTTGACCAAACTTTCAATGTCTGGGCTTTTTTTGAACCATCCAGCGAGGCAGTCCTTATGAAAAACGTGATCACAACCAGGGAAAACACAAAGCAAGGTTTCTGGTTTGTCAGAATTGAACTCTCCCAAGCAGATCACACACTCCTCAGGGGGATTCTTGAAGTGGATGTCTCTGCTCCAAAATTTCTTCATCATGTTCATCGAGAGAATCGATCGCTTTGTCGATTCTTGCATTGCCCTAAGCCTTTTCCTTGCCCACGTCGATTCTTTGACATTTCCCTTGAGAGAAACTTCGCCCAAATATTCCTGCAGATAAACTTCCAGTCAGCGTGCGCCGTGGATCTTGGAGCGTGACAATCATGAATTATAATAAGCACTCAACTGTCTTGTCTGCTCTCACAAAGGAATTGGTCTGGTGCGAGTATTTTATCATTGGGAATTTATCCCAGTTAACCTCCCTGCGAGGGTACTCCCTGATAATCTGGTCTGAAATCGCGTTTATTGACAATGGTTAGAATGAGAAACTTCATAAGAAATGGCAAGCGAATCCTACTCACCTCCCTGTACAGGTACTACTTGGGAATTCTGATATTCTCCCTCAAAGGTTTGCTCCTCTGCCTCTGATTCCTGAAATGACTCCTCTAAGTCACGCCCTTCTGGCACGGCTTGATGTAAAAAATCGCGTTTGCTAAGCTGAGCTAAACATGAATTTGAAACATAGCAGAAAAATCCGCCCAAAATCTACTTAGAATATTGGTGTGCACGTCCCATGAGTCAATGCCTGCTATGTCAATCACGACTGAGGAAAAATGAGACATTTGAGGGGTAGAGGCTCAACTAGAAGTAGGATGGCGCTTATTCTGATGTGCATCATTGATGTAATCATTTTTGAGAGATGAGTGGCCCCCAGGCTGGAATGATTAAATGGCTGCAATATATTGAAAGAGTTTCCATCAATCAAGTGGCAAAAATAAATAAATCTTCAAATAAGTTCTGAACTGATAAGTTTAAAACAAACTCACCTTGTGGACATGCAAATTTTGTGTGAATGGATTGGTTAGTGTTTATGTTGAATTTTCTGTCTTTTTTTTGTTTGATGATGATACTAATTTCTTTAGGAATGGGTGGGTTGGTTAAACTCTGATCCCCAGCAAACCTTCTTATACTATCATCAGTATACTGAGTACAAACTGGGCCATACGCGCTTGATTGCTGTACCATTCCTTCTTTCTGCATTTTTCCCCCGAGGAGGGTATGACCTCATCATTAACAATATACAAATGAGACCTGTTTAAAAGGGAATTCAAGTTGTACTGTCATCTGTTCCAAGTTTCAGCAAAATAACATGCTCCGCTAATATTTGCACATGAACATGTCAAGGCGTAATGAGCTTGTCGATATCGATGTTGATTTTTAATACTTTCAAAATCCGGGGAAGCCGTCTTTCATTCCGTCCGAACATTGTTGGATGAGACACATTTTACCTCGCTGGAGTTTGTACATCATCATGTGTGTAGTTGACCTTGTTGATGCATGAGTTGAATCTTTTGTTTACCTCCAGATTCAGCGAAGCTTGCTTGCCATTTCGCACAGACACGGACCGATGGGACTTGCTTATGTCTCCTGCATTCGAAGTCTTTGTTTCAATTCTTTGGATCAAGCGATCACAAGTTTTCCAGAACCCATTTGAACTATTTCCGTCTCAAAATATGTGGTAATTTTTAAGACCGCGGAACCGCAAAGCGCCGCTAGAAGCATCAATCAAGTCCAACGGGCATATGTACTCAAAAGACTCGGCGGACACGTGGACAGGAGGAATTTGGGCCCTGCCTAAACGGTTTTGATTTGCTTAGCCCGACTAGTACTTTGAAATTCAATCTTCTGGATTATCTTGAAATTGAGAGTGTGTGCTGGTGATAAATGCAGGAAATATATCAATTTCTAATATAAGAGCTGAGATCACTAGAGAGCTCTTTTTTCTTGTATAATTTCCTAGTTACAACTAAATTCAAAATCTGATAGTTGAGTGTTCTCCCCTATGGAAGGTTGGGGTTGTGTTGCATGGAATATTTCCAATACACAGACCAAGCATAGGTCCACAATAGAGAAAAAATACCTATTGAGATGTAAATATTGACAACCTTAAAATTGGAAAGATACAAACTGCCAAGGAATTTAGAGTAGTTTTTAGTTGGAGCCAGTTTACGACAAATAGGACAACTGTTACCATGTATGAACAGGGATTTGATCACCCGCCTTCCATTGAACCAATCCTTAAGACAGGTGTAATGGAAGACATGTTCACAACCAGGGAAAATGACCAATAAGCTTTCTGGATCTTCTATTTCCTGGTACTCCCGTAAACAGATCACGCAGTTTTCTTGCGAGTTGAGTGTGACTCCACTCTTCAACTGGACCTCCTTGCTTTGAAATTCTTTTCTTCTTTCCATTGCTGGTTGGGAATAATTGATCAAGTTCTTTATTTTTTCCATAGCATTCTTCCTTGTATTCTTCATATTCTCTTTCTGATTAAAGTCTCTAGACAATTCCTGGATTCAAATGCGTCAACATCAGCTTTACTTCCCTACTCTAATTGAACTGGAAAAACTGCCTTTATGAAAATATCAAAAGAACTCAACATTCTTGTCTACAGTAATAAATTTACCCAAATTGGGTGAAAATTTTATCCAAGTAAACTTTTCCCAGTCAACCTCTCTGCAAGGGAATTTTTTGATATTTTGCGCTGAATAAGACAGAATTTTCAGAATTTTGTAATTAGAATTATGCATAAATGGAAGAATGAAAAAAGTATTCTCATCTTATTCACCTTCCTGTACAGGTTCTATTTCAGAGCTCTGATGCCATTGAACTACCCCAGAGTTCTGATCAGCTACCTCCTCCAAGTTTTGATTGGATAGTTCAGAGGCTAATTGATGAGATGTGGCTACCCCAGAGTTCTGATCAGCTACCTCCTCCAAGTTTTGATTGGATAGTTCAGAGGCTAATTGATGAGATGTGGCTACCTCCATTTCATGATCTACTTCATTAAAATCATTCATTCTCCTTGTTACTTGAGGTGTAACAGGGCCCTTACAGAAGTATTGGGTTAAGTTTGAGTACAAAGTGTTTTACCACTTTTTAGATGAGTTTTAATGTTGGTTGTAAATATGATTGTGTATCGTATTCGATGATGAATGATCTCTCATCAGAATGCTGCTTATAAGTCTATGTACAAAAGGTCCAAGCGTACATAGAATAGCAGAGAAATTGATAATAACGTGAAACACAAACAATGACGTCATAAGAGTACGAAACGAGAATTAATACTATTGATTTAGCAACGGTGGGCCAGTTACGCTAACCGTAGTGTTAGTGCAGCGTAGTGTTAGCTTTTTAAGCTACGCTACACAAAAGTTACTGTTAGCGAAAAATTTGGCCCACTAACACTACAGGATTTCTGAAAAAACAAAAAAAAACTTTAGCGTAGTGTTAGCTGACTAAAAAAAAACAACAGCTAACACTAACCAAATCCCTTGTTAGTGGAATTTTAGCCTGTTAGTGTAACTTTTTGATAAGTTACACCAACTGTTAGCGTAGTGATCCCCTCAGTTACACTAACTGTTAGCGTAACTGATCAAAAAGTTACGCTAACTGTTAGCATAACTGATTACTGAGTTACACTAACAGTTAGCGTAACTGATTACGCTCCTCCAATTGAAAAAAGTAGGTGGTATCACTAGGGGTGAGAGTTTGTTTGAGAATCTGGATTCGAAGCTCCTGTTTTTTTTTGGCTTGGCACTGTTTCTTTGCTGCTTTCATACTGGCATTATTATTACTATCAAGAGATAAATTAGTCCCCAGGGTTTGAATCACCCCAAGATCCATTTATTCCATCATTTAGTAGCCAGCTGCAGGAAAGGGAAACAGGAAGAGTAAGAAGAAGCAAAAAATTAGATCAGCAACCTGTGGAAGCTTAACACAAATTTGAAATCATACCGCTTTTTTGGCCCGTCCTTTTTGTAATCCACAGTCAATGGTCAAGAAAATGTGTGTGGGGGTACCTAAATCAAAGAGGGGGGAGGTTAGCAAGCATCAGAGCCAGGGTAGCAGTCTTCTAGTTTGTTCCCTTTTGGGGAAGCAATTGATTTTTGCTGGTTGACTTTGAGTGGCGATAACTTTTGCAAAAAAGGTCCGATTTCCTTAATTTTTGGTTCGTTGGAAAGCTAGCATCAAGGGCTACAACTTTGTCAGCCATTGTGATGACTAAAAGCAAACGGTTGCTGAGATCGAATCGATTGAAGTTAGTCCAATGCAATCCAATGAGAGACCTAAGTTTCAGAAGAGGGAGTAAGCTGAAGAGACTTTTGGATGGGAGGATATAATGGAGGTGGTTGTGATGAGTATTCAATTGAGATGAAGATCAGATTGATCTTTGATGAAGTTGATGATGAGGATGAGGATGAAAAATCTTGATGGGGTCTTGCTTGGATCGGAAGAGATTGGAGGTCCGACATCCATCTCCCCTTGCTTGAACTTCAAGTTCAAACTCAGAACCCAGGGAGTGAACATGTCACAGGCATGTCCATGACATCCTCTTGCTGACTGAACCTCAACTCACCAAGCCATTCCTCATGTACTGCTAGTCATGTGGACAAGGAGGATGTCTGGAGATGCTACTAACCTGTCATGTCAAGTGTTCAATTCCACCTCAAGGCATGCATTTGTGTTATTTTCTCACTTGAAATTTTTCATTTGTCCACCATTGTGTAGTGTAGCTTAAAATATAGTGTAGCGTAGTGTGGGACCAGTTACGCTAAATGTTAGCGTCAACTCAGTTACGCTATCTGTTAGTCAAAATTTTGTTAGTGAAAAAAAAGTTACACTAACTGTTAGTTTAGCGGTGATTATTTGAAGCTAACACTACAGAAAATTTGAGATAAAAATTTCACGCTACACTGGCAGTTAGCTCAGCGGTGTTTAGCGTGCGCTAACACTACAGATCTTCTAGAGAAAAAAAAAGCCGCTACACTAACAGTTAGTGGTCAAATAGCGTAGTGTAGCGTAGCGGCCCACCGTTGGATTTAGTATTAATACATAAATTGAGAATACACATAGAGGTAAATGAGGGGCTGTAGTCGTAAGTCCTATTAACTCCTGACCGAGTGTATAGGCGCACGGCTACAGAGGTAAACTTGAATTAGAAACAGAGTGGAAGACTTCCAATAAGATCTATATTGGTTTTAGGAAAAGGTGACAATTTTATAATCAATATAAAAACTCATAGTGTGTCTAGATGAAAAAATTAAGGGTATTGGAAGAGTGAGCTCAACTAGTATTTGTTGTATCCTTAGATGCATGTCTATGAAGATCCTCAACAACTTTACTAGTAACAGGATATAAGAATAGTTTGCTCTTTCAGTTGATCATGAAGTTACTCTAAGGAGAGAATTAATAAATCTTGTATTATCAAAAGGGTTTACTGAGATTGATTCAACTGATGTGATAAAACTAATTAATGTTGGTGTATGTGGTGTGATTTTCCAGTTTTCTGTCTCTCTTTGAATGATCAATATATGGTTTTCTGTAGGATTAGAAAAATTGGTGGCTTGTTCAAGCCTACATATCCTTCACAATCCTGAGACTCTCCCTGGTTTGTATCTTCTTGTACAGTCTCCTCCCAGATGTTTATAGCCATCTGTTTTGAGCTCCACACCAAGAAACCAAAATTTTCAAGTCACAATAGTTGGTGAAATGGTGGAAAATGGGTCTCAAAGAATGAATATGAAAAAATAATAATGATAAACAAGATTATAAAATTTGTAAAAAGTAAAAAGGAGAAAATCACAAAAACTGACAGCTCTAATATTTCTTTTAGGGAAAGATGAAATTTCCAAAGTGATAGTATGAGATCTGGAATGAATAATAAGAAGTGAAAATTTGGAGAAAAAAATGACTACTTGGTGGTTTAGAAAGGGTGCATAGGGGGTCATTCATCAAGAAATGTGGCATTCTGGTACTGCAATCTACTAATTTTGACTGCAGGGTGTCCACCCACCATGCTCAAACTTTTTTGGGATCAATATTTTTCATTTATAATCATTCTTTTCATGTTCCAAACTTGCCCTCTGTGTGTTCACTTTTCACTCAAACAAAAAATTAAAGTTTTCAAAAAAAGTTGATTTTCTGTTATCTTTTTCACAAATTTCAAACTCTTGTTTTCTACTATTATTTTTTCATATTCATTCTTTGAAACACATTTTCCATCATTCCACAAACCCTTGTGACTTGAAGTTTTTGGATTCCCAGTGTGGAGCTCAAAACAGATGGCTATAAACATCTGGGAGGAGACTGTACAAAACATGGAGTTACTTCTTTGTGTCACCATACTTTATTTTTTTTGTATCTGTGTGTGTTTTTGATGGGTGGAATCAAACATGTCAAGTGTGTCAGGTGTTGAACACAGCCTATTGGACATTGCGGAGAAGCTTTTGAAACCAAGATAAGAAATAATAAACTGTGGAAGTTTGGTGACATGTGATATTGGTGTTATCATAACCATTCCTGTTTGAGTCAAGAATGGTGAAAATATAAATATTGATGTGAGGAAAATATAACCAACCCTATAATATTTCCTTTTTAGAGGCCCCCTTTCACTCTCCTTGGAGGATATTAAACCCAACACAACAGGTGGCCTGCTGGAAAAGAAATTTGAGTCTTATTTGGTTTTTGGCTCCCATCCACATATTTATGGATAATTAGAATTAGAATTGGTTAGGTTATAACTTATATTGCTGTTTTAAGGCAATCTAACCCAAAGGTTGAGAGTTGTTGACTTTTAAACGTTCAAAGAAATACTACAAATGCAGAGGGGCAAGTTGCAAAGCAGTAACAGTCAAAAACAAACAATTTGGACTTGGAAACAAAGAAGATTGTGAACATGATAACAGATTTGTATTTGAACCCCCAATCACTCCACAGTCTGAAGGATCATCTTCAGAAAATGTTGAACCCCCAATCACTCCACAGTCTGAAGGATCATCTTCAAAAAATGTTGTAACCTCAGAGATGATTGGTAATCACCAGTACTTCCACTTCCTTTGAGCAATTAATACCTGCAAAAACACACCGGATCAGGCACCACCCCCCACAATATCTTTTGAAATGTTGGAACAAACACTACAAAGAATTTGATGAGGAATGTGATTTCAGAGGCTTACTACAGGTGAGACTTACAAAGCCTGTATTTTTATAATTGCATGATCCAAATGGGCCAGTTTTGGTCAATGAAAAAAAAACAATGTCCAAACCTCCCCTGAAAGCATATATTGCAGAAGGCTGGTTGGGGAAGATCCAGAAAAAAGGGTTCCAACCCTGCCTTGGGTTTGTAGTAGTAGGAAGTCCAGGTTGATTCATTGTTTAGGATCTTGGTCAACTCAACGGTGAAACAATATGGCATCTGCGGTGTATCAGCCATGTATCACTCCATGTATTGGAACCCCAATGAAAAAAATTATCTGACCAATGCACTTTTACTTTCAAGGATATGCAACACATTTGGTTTTTTGGCCATGCAGCTTTGTGCAATTCCCCATGTTAACACAGTGTATTGTATCAGTGACATTGTTGGTCAACCCGTAATCAACACATAAAAATTGTGCCTATCTTTTGGTTCTTTTTTTTAAATGGGTTTCTAAAGGTCCTGGAGATACATCTTGGAAATACAGCAAAAAACAATACAGTGTCTCTATTTCACCTACTTGGCTTCAACAAACAATCACCTCAATTCCTCTATCCTCACCCATACTAATCCTCTTGGTCAAGTTTCTTAAAGCCAATATCTTGGTCTACTTCTCAAACAAATAAGCTACTCATCTAGATTACCTGGTCCAGTCACCAAATTGATTACACACCTCCCTAAATAACCAGTTGGTGCACCTCTCCTCAATGAGTTGAAAATCTGGCCATTTCAGAGCATAATAGTTTTAGACCAGACCTCATGAAAGAGTCACAGGTGGGATTCCCAGAATATGAGATGTTGGGCAAATATTGATGGGTCTGTAGCTGTTAATATGGGTGTTTCACAGCTCACAGGATGAAATACTAGGACCAGTTTGGTTGCCCAGTAGGACCCAACAGGATCTTTCAATTCTTGGAGGAATCTCTGCTTGTCTTGGCTAGCAGATTCTTCTTGCAAGTATCTCTACCTAGACCTTTCCCATGGCCCCACACGGGCCCATTGGTGAATATAAATCTGGTGACATGAAGCTCCTGAATTCACTCAATTCAAGCCAGTTGCTTCATGGCACCTGACATCTATTCCCTTCAAATTTATTTCATGGTGCTAGCACTCTTATATGGGCCTTCCTATATTATGGGCAAATATGCTGTTTAATAACAGGCACAGATTATGGTATTAAGAAGAAAAAATTGAATATCAAACAGTTTACTTAACACTACTCAATGTCATACTTTGCAATTTTGGCTGAGACCTGTCAATTTGAGTTTTGAAGTATTCTGACAGGTCCCTACCAAAACTTTCTTCATATTCTTTTATGTTGTTATACTACAAACTCCATAGTCAATTTTGAACACCATAGATGTCCAATTTATTCATCAATAGATGGGTGCATACGTTCTGTTTCCCCTCCCCCCCCCCCCTTCTTTTTTTCTCTCTTATAGTCTAATCGATTTGACAGATTGCTCAAGTTTCTGATTGACAGGACTGCTTGTGTATTTCCGTCCATTAATTTTGGTTTGTCTGTATCACAATGGTAAGCTCTTAAGCATTTTTCTTTTGTTTAGCCATACTTGCTGATATGAAAATTCATTCAAGAGACACTGCCAAAGGGGGGGTGTATTGGTTACAACCCCCTGCAGTAAGGGTGATCAGAGGTGGCCAATAAATGAATGGTCTCCCCAACCAATTATATATTGTCCAGGCCCACCAATGCATGACCCCTTTGTTCTATTGTATTGGTGGGCCCAGCCAATATAAAATGGGTATCCCAGACTGATTTAGAATTGGTGCACTCTGTTTGACTTTACCCTGGGGGGTTTGTAACCAATACAACCCCTTTGTCAGTGAGATGGAGGCCCCGTTTGGACAACACATTATACGTTATAAATGTCAAAGTTCAGCGCTCAATTAGGGGGTTTCACAGTGGAGTGCAAGTGACTTCCAGAACATTTTTGGCAAGTCACTCTGATGTATGGAGATTTTTCAAAAATGGCTTTCTACTAGCCACATCTAACCTTATAATAATGAGTAATGGGAGCTGAACATGCATGATTTTTGCAAGGCATTTTCACTCAACTCTGAATCCTACTATTTTGGAGGACATCCCGTTGGATTCTGGGACCCTAATTGCGGTTTTTTGATTTAGACCCTAAAAGTCTTGATTTTTTGCAGGGAATTCTAGCTTTTGCGGCTCTCAATCAAACCTGGGAGACCCACAGATGTTGACAGAAAGTCATCTATTGTGTGACCTATACATTGGCATAAATACATACAGCTATTCTGGAAATGGTTGTCCAGTTGTCTCGCAATCTTTTTTTTTTTTTTTTTTTTGAATTTTTCTTTGTACTGAACTACAGCTGAGGAGGTACAGCTGTCATCAGTAGTTCAGTTCTGACAGGTCCAGCTCAGTAAAAAAAAAAAAAATAAATAAATAAAAAAGAATTTGTGAGTCCAAGTGGACAATTAGACTTCCCAAAATAGCTGTATAACACCATTCAGTGCTAGATTTTAGAATATTTTATGAGATATACATAACAAGGTTGTCCAAATGGGGCCTGAGTTTTGATCATCAAATCAATGATCAGGTCCATGATGAATTATGCTCTTCACAAATATTGATCTTGAAACCAGTTTCTAGATAAACTGATATTCATAAACCCTACAGGGCCCCAACATCAGCCTGATGATCTATTTGGGGCTTTTCTCTGCAAACTAAGTTAAATGAATTTATGTCAAATGTGTTTTAAACATCAATTTTGAATGCCCCTAATCCCCTGTACTACATCAAGCCCTTCAAGTTGAATTGTTGCTTGGATATGTATATCTATCAAGAGCATGTGTTATGATATTGTGCTTCGGGTGACTGTTGTTTTGGAGGTGAAACTCTAATCCAAGGCGGGGATTAGATAAACAAAAGCAGCTTGTGTGTGTGTGTGTTGTGTTTTCCCTTTTACAGTTTACAGTTACGACTGATTCTTCTTTTGTTGTTGTTGGTCTGCTTGACAACCAAACTGGTTTCGATCGTGTTGTCCCCTTTTTCATGATCTGGTTCTTTTGTATTGATCTTCGTGTTCGACTCGACTCGACTATAACGATTGTCCTGTTCCAATCTCGACAACTTCATATTCAACCTCGATCAGACTACCAACACCAAAGCAACTGACTACATTAAAGAACCAGCAGCCGAACGAGCTGAGAACAAGAAGAAGACTATATAAAACACTCCCAATGCCCATCAGCAGCCTGTTGACCATCTCCTATCACAACTAAAAACATGTCATCCTCACTACTACCTCACACTATCTCATTCCTATCCTCAGTACTCAAACTAGACAACAACAACCACTCAAACCACTCATCCCCAATCTCATCCTCATCCGAACCACACAACAACAACAACAACAACAACTCACTACTCATTCCTACCATCCTAGACATCCTTGCCCACCCAGATGAGGACGAGAAACCAGACAGACTCAAATCATTCCTATCAAACTCAACCCATCTCAACCTACTCCCCGAACAACAACTCAACCAACTCATCCTCTCACTCCTACACCAACACCGAGAGGATATCCACCACAAACCACTACTGCCCTCAACACTCACTCGCTCATCCTCACAGAGAATCACCATCGGCAAGTCAAGATTCCAACCCAGATCCCCTCACCCTTCATCCACACCCTCCACCCCAGACTTCTCAGCCAGATTCTTACAACAACAACAACAACAACCCAAGTCTGCCTCAGTCTACAATCAACCACCAGCCATCCATCCTCCACACTCCCTCATCTCACTCTCCAAACCAATCCCACCTTCATTAAACCTCCCACCACCCGAAAAACTCAATGCATCCGCCCTCGAATTCAAGCCGATTCTCTCCAGAACGGTATCCATGCCATTCGAGTCTACCGCCATCAACCCAAACAGTTCCCCATACATCCCCACCCCCGACTCGGCCAGGCTCTCGGCCCATCAACGTCCGATCTTCATCAATAGTGTCCCCAGATCGGCCACCAGTCTCATCCATCATTCCCCAGCTGTCTCCCCCTCGGCTAACTCGCCCTACTTCCCACGAAACAGTCGACCGGCGACTCCAGAGATCCCCAGAGACCCATGGCTCAAGGAGGATTCTTCTTCCTCCTTTCTGCAAGATTCTTCACCCAGACTCCAATCAAGATTAACCCAGATCGAGCAACAACAACAACTGGATGACCCGGAGAATCTCTCGCTCTTCTTGCCCTTCCAAGCGACCGCCATCAGTCCCTTGAAGTCGCCCCTGCCCACCCTGGTCACCGAGTCTCCACGCCTGCGGAAGAACCAAGAGCCCTCGTGTCCTTCGGCCTTGCAATGGGGTTTGAGTCCCGAGATGGCCGAGGAAATGGCCCAGTTCACGGTCTGGGACCAGTCCGACTCCGACGGCTCTCAGCCCCCTGCCATCGTCCATCATCCCCCCGAGGAAGATGAGGACGATCCATTGGGCCGGTATTGGATGTCGCCCTACGACGAACTCTGTGCCGCGTTGGCAGGCACCGGGGTGTCTGAAGCCTTGATCGATCAGGCGCTTGGCCAGACTGGCTTCGATACTTCTAAGGCTATTGATTGGTTACTCGAGCGTCATGGGATCCCCACCCAACCCCTCGTTTCTTCTTCTTCTTCTTCCTCTATCGGTGGAGCAGGAGGAGGAGCAGGAGATCCTTCCTTACTCTCTACAGTCATTGATCCATCCAGTCACTTCAGACCGTCTCCATCCTCTGCCAACTCCGCATCCTCGCGTGATCACAGTCCCGCCGGGAAACAAACCCGCAGTCCGGCGGCGTCGAGACCCGCCAGTCCCAGATTCATCCCTGCTAATAAATCGCCCTCGCCCACGTTCCAGAAAAGGCCCTTCCCAAACACTTCTAACATCAAAGCTTTTGTGCCTTCTTCGGCTTCTTCGGTTTCTGCTTCGGTTTCTGCGGATGATCCGGCTTTCGAACCTGGCCCTTCTCATCGTGTTTGGTATGTTCATTTCTTTCTCTCTCTCCTCTAGACTTTTTCTGATTATGGTATTTCCTTTTCAGTCGGTTTTATTTGCAAGGGTGTTGTCTTAGATCGGATTGTAAATTCAGTCATGATGTTGGGAAAGCGATCTGTAGATTTTGGTAAGCCTTTCATTCCCATCAATTCTTACCAATCACCCAACATTCAACCCAAGAATAACCGTTTTTTTTTTTCTTCTTCTTGGAAATAATCGACAGGTTAAAAGGACATTGTTTAAAGGGCGAAAGCAAATGTGATTTCCTACACGAGATTCCAGATTTAACGAATGAAGAGGCCCAACGGGAAGAAGAGATTGAGAAAGCGAAGGCGAAGCCGATGATCATCCGGTCGTTTGCCGACGAATTCCCGTCCTTGGAAGAATCTGTATCCAACAGCAACAAGAAGAAGTCTCAAGGTACCCCCACTACGGCTTCTAGACTCAAACCCGTCTTGCTTCTTCCCGATCGCCCTATCACTCCCTCGCCTAGTCTCCTCAAACTCTCCCAGACTTATCACGAGATGACGCTCGAGTTCGGTAGTCGTAGGAAAGAGTGCTTCGATCGTGCTAAGGAATGTTTCAAACGAGCCGGTCAGTCTCCATCCTTTCTTTCCCTCCTTCCCTCCCTACTCTCATCTGTCTAAACAAAGAAAAAATCGTCTTTTTACACGTTGAAACAAAACATCTAGATGGGGCGGGCGTGAAAAAATGGTCGAAAGAAGGAGACGAATGGAACCGTAGATTGACCGAAGAGCCGCGCGCCACGGCCGGCCTGATGATCACTGAGCGTAACCGGTTGATGAAGGATGCCGTCCGTGAGGGCGTCTCGGACCGCTTGGCCAAGGTCGATGAGGGCCCTGATCGGATGCATCGGGGGAAAGAAATGGGCGGCGGAATTTGTCTCGGGGTCGTCTCTTCTTCTCCTGCTTCTTCTTCTTCTTCTTCTTCTTCTGTTAAAGAAAGAATGGAAGTCTTGATGGATCTCCAGTATGTTTCTCCTCTCCTTTTTGACTTTCATTTTGGAAATTGTTCTGATTTTTTTTCCTTCTGATTTTTTAGCGGTTTACATCCTGATGACGGGGTGTACTATCTAGAGAAATTCATGATGGCTTTAAAGACGGAAGGATTCCAAGGCTTAGCGTACATTTTAACGAGCTCGACATTCACTTCTTCTTCTTCCCCGTCAACCTATGAATCCTCTTCATCATCATCATCCGACTCCTCGGAATCCTCGTCGACTAATTCAGATGGACTCTCCGAAGAGCCGACCTCCTTCGGAATCACTTCCAAAGAAAGCTTGAGTAACCATAAGAATAACAAGAATAAGCTGTTGTTGGGGCCTGCGCCGTTGAATGTGCTCGATAATCTGCAGCTGTTGGAGCCTGGTCGGGCGCTTAAGGAAGACCTCCAACTCGAAAAGGCCGTCAAGACGTGGCTCGATCGGAAACGCTTCTCGTCCGAATCTTCGACTCCTTCTAACTCCAACTCGAAATCTTCTACTCTCACTAACACTAACACTCTTTCTCGTCCTGGAATCGTTTGCATTGTTCGTCTTTTCTTTTCTTCCTTTTTTTTTATTTTTTTTTCTGTGCACAGATTTTATATATTCACCGTCGCTCATTCTCGTTTTTTTCTTGTAGGATCCTGTTCGTAAACTGTAACTCAAAATAAACCATGTCCAATCCTTGTATCCTGTACCAACCCAACCCATCCCTTATCGTTCTTTGTTGTATATGTGTATGTGTGTGTGTGTACGTTTTGCATACTTATAAAGGCCTCTTGTATCAATCACTTTTCTTTCTTTTTTACTTCGTTTGTCGTTCCCTCTCAGCTGTTGTTGTTGTTTTTTAGGTTTTAGGTTTTATGTTACATGGACATTGCGATCGATTCTCTCCTTTTCTTTTCTGTCACATCAACTTGCTTTCTTTCTTCGCTTATCATCGCCATGTAAACACTTGACTCTCTCACCTCGTGTGTCGTCTATTCTTTGGTTTCTGTTTTCTTTTCTTCTGAACTGGTTCTGGTCCAGTTTTGTGTTCTGGTTCTCTGGTTTCAGTTGACCTGTGTGTGTCCCCCCACACACACACACATATGCAGTTGCGGAAATGTAAATATATGTATACAAGCTTGATGGAAGGTCTGTGGATGTACCGGGAATTTGGCGGCGGCAGTGCCAGTGGTGCCTTTGTAATTTGTATAAGAGGGACTTGCAGGGCGGAATCTGTATCCAGTTTGTGGCGTGGCAGCTGGAAAGAGCCTGGCTGGTGGATGTAGACTAACCGGATTTCGGACCTACATACACCTCACAACCTCCCATGAGCTTCACTTTTCTTTTTTTTTCTTTTCTTTTTTCTTGGGCGTTAATAAAAAAACGCGGTAAATCCGCGTTTACACGCGGTTTCTGCTGCGCGCAGCACACGCGGAATCCGCGTTTACACACGGTTTTTTAATTAATTTTTTACTGCTTATTTTTTGAGTTTTTTTGAATTTTTAATATTGTTTCCTAGGTTTCAAAGCACGTAGAATTTAATGGTGAAAACCATTTTCCATAAAAATGAGTTTTAATTATTAATTTTTTTTTCTACTCATTTTTTCCATTAATTGTAGGGTCTTAGTCAAACGACTCCCAAATATTGGAGTTCCGACTCCCAAATATTTGGGACGTCGCTAAGACCCCCTGCGGATGGTCCGCAGGCCGTCCACCCCCGGAGATGGGAGTCGGACCTCCCAAACCTTCAACAGGTTTGGGAGTCGATCCTCCCAAGAAAAAATAAAATAAAAAGATAAAAATATGAAAAACCCCGGGGGTTTTTGGGAGTCGATCTTCAAAAACCCCCAGGGAGATTGGGAGTCGGCGCCGGACTTGACTCTCTAGGACCGCGAAGGCATCCTCTCGGCCGGTAAGAGTGTACACTCTCATTGACCGAGAGGGATTCCTCTCGGCCGGTGAAAGAGTCTCACGTACACTCTCATCGACCGAGAGGGATTCCTCTCGGCCGGTGAGAGTATACACTCTCAACGGCGAAGAGGGATTCCTCTCTGCCGCTGAGAGTCCGGCGCCGACTCGCAACCTCCCTGGGGGTTTTTGAAGATTGACTCCCAAAAACCCCCGGGGTTTTTCATTTTTTTATCTTTTTATTTTTATTTTTTTCTTGGGATGATTGACTCCCAAACCTGTTGAAGGTTTGGGAGGTCCGACTCCCATCTCCGGGGGTGGACGGCCTGCGGACCATCCGCAGGGGGTCTTAGCGACGTCCCAAATATTTGGGAGTCGGAACTCCAATATTTGGGAGTCGTTTGACTAAGACCCTAATTGTATGCATACATGTTTTTACCTTATTTTTTATGCTTTTTTGAAATTTTAAATTTATTTCCTGGGTTTCAATATGTGTAGAACTTAATGGTGTCAACCAAATTTTTTAAAACTCAATGGTTCATTTTTAATACTGAAATTTGACACATCTTTTCACTTAAATTTCTACAGGTTAATTTTCATTCTTTTTTGACATTTCAAATTTTCTTCCTACATTTTAAGACATGTAAAAAATCATGGTATCAATTTTTTTCCCCAAAATGAAAACTATACCTTGAATGCTGCATTTGACATGTTTTTTTAATTAATTCATCACTTTTTCACCTGATTGTTTGCATACATGTGTGTACCTTATTTTTTATGCTTTTTTGAAGGTTTAAAGTTGTTTCCTACATTTAAAAGTGTGTAGAATTTAATTGTAACATCCAATTTTCTTAAAACTCAACGGTTCATTTTTAATACTGAAACTAGACCCTTTTTTCAATTAATTCTTTACATGTTATTTCTCAACATTGTTTGACATTTTAAGTTTATTTCCCACACATTAATATATTATCAAAATGATGGTAACAACCATTTTACATAAAAATCAGCGCTTGTTACTGAATACTGCATTGGACAGGTTTTTTTTAATGTTTTTTTGATTGATTTTTACTGGCCTGATTTTAAGCATTTTTTGAAATTTTAAATTTATTTCCTCCATTTACAAATGTGTAGAATTGAATGGTGAAGTCCAATTTCACTAAAAATACAAGCTTCAATCTTAATAGATGAGTGTACCCCGTTTCTTGCATAATTTGTACCCTATACAAATTTTATTTGAATGCATAATGGATACAGCCATCAATTTTGAAACCTTTCAAAGTGTAGGAAATGAGCTTGAAATTCCAAAAAATAAGGATAATTGAGCGTGTAAGAATGAATTTGGGAAACACATCAAAGGCATTATTCAAGACATAGTTTTCATTTTCATGAAAATCCCATAGTTACCATAATTTTATACATGTTTGAAAGTGTAGGAAAAGAATTTAACATGTCAAAAAATAATGAAAAATAAGCTGTTAAAAATCTTACAGTATTCAGTATGAACCATTTAGTTTTATGGAAATTGAATGTTACCATTAAATTCTACACACTTTTTTAATGTAGGAAACAAATTTAAAATTTCAAAAAAGCATAAAAAATAAGGTACACACATGTATGCAAACAATCAGGTGAAAAAGTGATGAATTAATTAAAAAAACATGTCAAATGCAGCATTCAAGGTATAGTTTTCATTTTGGGGAAAAAATTTTGATACCATGATTTTTTACATGTCTTAAAATGTAGGAAGAAAATTTGAAATGTCAAAAAAGAATGAAAATTAACCTGTAGAAATTTAAGTGAAAAAATGTGTCAAATTTCAGTATTAAAAATGAACTGTTGAGTTTTAAAAAATTTGGTTGACACCATTAAGTTCTACACATATTGAAACCCAGGAAATAAATTTAAAATTTCAAAAAAGCATAAAAAATAAGGTAAAAACATGTACGCATACAATTAATGGAAAAAATGAGTAGAAAAAAAAATTAATAATCAAAATTCATTTTTATGGAAAATGGTTTCACCATTAAATTCTACGCGCTTTGAAACCTAGGAAACAATTTTAAAAATTAAAAAAAAACTCAAAAAATAAGCAGTAAAAAATTAATTAAAAAACCGTGTGTAAACGTGGAATCCGCGTGTGCTGCGCGCAGCAGAAACCGCGTGTAAACGCGGAAAAACCGTGTTTTTTTATTAATGCCCTTTTTTTGGGGGGCTTGGTTAAACGACTCCCAAGAAGTGGAGAGCCGACTCCCAAGCCCCGAAATCCCCGACTTTTGGGAGTCGGACCCCCAAAACCTTCAACTGGTTTGGGAGTCGACTCTCCCAAAAAAAAATATTAAAAAAAATAACAATCCCCGGTTGGTTTAGGAGTCGATCCTCCAAAACCAACCAGGGTTTGGGGGTCAATGAAACAAAAGACCCCCACAGAAGCGGCCGGGAGGATTCTTCCCGGCCGCTCAGATTACACACTGCGATGGCCAAGAGGAATCCTCTTGGCCGTCAAGATTCTGCTCTCAGCGGCCGAGGTGATTTCCCTCGGCCGTTGAGAATGTACACCTCAGCCATCGAGAGTGTACACTCTCGATGGCCAAGAGGATTCCTCTCGGCCGTTGAGG